CATCCATGTCGTTGCAAATGGCAAGATCTCATTCCTTTTGATGGCTGCATAATATTCCATTGTATATATATACCACATCTTCTTTATCCAGTCATGTGCCAGATACTGTTTTACAGCACTTTTCATGTTTGAAATAACTGAATCCTCTCAACTTGAGTCCTATAAGGTGGCTATTATTATTGTCCCATTCTACAGATGAGATTATAGGGCCCAGAGAGATTAATTATTTTACCCAAGTTTATCTGGCAACAGAGCACAAGCTCCATCCTGATCCTTTCTTTTTTTTTTTTTAAGATTTTACTTTTAAGTAATCTCTACACCCAGAATGGGGCTCGAACTCACGACCCTGAGATCAAGATTTGCATGCTCTTCTGACTGAGCCAGCCAGACACCCCTGTCCTGATCTTGATCTCAATGACACTTGATTCATGATTCACAGGGTCAAAGTGAAAATGAGTTAGTAGTTCTCAACTGGGGGAGACTTGGGGCCCTCAGGGGACATTTGACAGTATCTGCAGACCTTTTTGGCTGTCACTCCTACAGGGGTGCTACTGGTATCTCATGGGTAGAGGCCAGGGATGTGGCTAAACAGTATACACAACAGCCCCCACAAAAAAAGATTATCCAGTCCCAAATATCTGCTGAGGTGGCCGTTGGCCATGCCATCACCAGAGACCGCGTCACCTCCCAAGTCCTGAATTCACTTAGATCCTGACTCCTATCCTTCCAGCCCACTTCATTGAGTGCTACCACTGCAAAAATTCTCTCATCCCACCATGGCTGTCAATTCCCTGACCCCCACTTCTTAATATCTATCACCATGGCCCCTAATTGCTGGAGTACCACGGGGCTGCCTTCCATCCTGAGCTTTGAACTTGTCCTCCTGATAACTTCCCCCTGGATGTCTACAGTCCTCTCGAGGTTTGCCAAAGTCCAAATGGTCTCTTGGTTCATCTCCATGGCTACCAGCATCTCAGCCTCTACCTGTTTTCCCTCCATCTTCCTCAACTCAGTAAGTCCTGTCACTCAAAGGAAAAATGTAGGTTTCATCCTTGACCCTTCCCGTCCCCCCTCCCCCACATCCGATCAATCAGCAAATCCTGCGTGTTCTTCCTCCTCGCAGATGATCCAGTTTATCCCATCATGCCTTCGCCCCATCCTCCACCGTCCTACCCCCGCCTGGTGACAGTAACATTCTCAGGGGTCTGCCTCTCTGCACCCCTCTGAAACTCACTTTCTACCTAACATTCAGAGTAGTTTGTTAAAAACAGTAGTCTGATTTTCACTCTTTTTACAGAAGTAGCAATGAAAATAAAATCCAAATTTCTGACTGTGGCCTACATGACTGTACGCTCATGATTTGGTGTCTGCCCATAACCGTCTTCATCTCATGCAACACCCCCTCCCCCCCCATCTCACGACCTTATTCTTCTTTCTCGAACACACAAACCTCCCCTGCCTCAGGGCTTTTGCATGAGTTATTTCTGGCTGGAATGTTTTTCTCTTGGCTTTTAAATGTTCTATTTTCTTTCATCCATTGGGTCTTAGCACAAAGGTCCCCACTTCAGAGAGGCTGTCTCTGTTGGCCAACCTATTAAAATAGGCCCCTTTTCAGTTACTCTCTATTGTAATACTTGCTGAGTTCAAAAATGTAGTTATCCCCTTTATTGTATACTTGGTTACTGTCAGCTCCCACATGCCCTTATGCACACGTGCATGCGCACTCCTACGAAACCTCTGGGAGGGCAGAGCTCTTGTTCTCTGCTGCATCCCCAGCACTTAGAACAGTCACTGGCACACACTAGGCTCTCAGTGCCCAAATAAATGGACCATAGTCCCCATTCTTGATGAAGAAACTGAGGCCCAGGTAGGTTAAGGGATCTGGGCAAAGCCACAGAAGGAGGAGGTGGTGGAGCTGAGAGTTGAGCCTAGGTGTGAGGCTTATCTCTTGCCAGGGAGCCCCGCCCACCTCTCAGCCCCTCCTGGGCCTGGCACGGACCTCCCAGCAGCATCTCCTGCAGCAGGTTGTCGATCTTGGCCATGCCGAAGAGCTTGATAAACTGGATCTGCTCGATCATCTGCCAGGTGATGCTCTGCAGGGTGGGCAGCAGGAGCAGAAGCTCACCGAAGCGGCCGCGGGAGTCGTACTGGCGGTCATTGATGTAGTCCTCCAGGCTCACCTGCACCTGGGAGCGCAGCCGCTTGATCTTGCCCGGGTCGCTCAGCCCCTTGGCATCTGCAATGGGAGGGCATGGGCGAGGGTCCGGCTGGAGCATCTGGGGAGCCAGGACCCAGATCTCTCCTGACTCCTGAGGCCCTGACAGGGGACCTAGTGGCCCAAGGTCACTTGTGGAGTCCTTAGCAGTGCTGGGACCAGGATTCGGGGTCCTCAAGAACCAGGGTACACTAACACATTTATAGCTTCCTGGATGCAGGCAGAAGCATTTCTGTCATATTTCCTGAGATGCAGAACTGGGAGATGGGGGGTGGAAGGGGGTGGGTGGGCAGGACTTCAGGAACATACCCATGAGGGCACCTAGCAACCTCCTCATTACACATGGGGAAAATGAGGCAGGGAGCAGGGAAAGGACTTGGCCCAGGTCATGCATCTAGCGGTTGGCAGATCCATAATGGGGATTTGGGGCTCCTGATCACAGTTGAGGTCCCACTGACCAGACATCAGCATATGTTGCTTCTCTTAGAAGAGTCTCCCCGCTTCCCTCCTCCCTTGCCTGTGTCATCTTGGGGTCTCAGCTTAGGTTTCACCTCCTCCAGGAAGCCTTCTCTGTTCCACCCTCCCAAGCCTGCTTTATGAGTGTCCATCATGCCCTAGATTCCTGTGGTTCTTTTGTCACTACTGGCCACAGAGCACGTAACTGTCTCTTCCACTAGATTATGAGCTCTGGACGGGCAGGCATGTCTTGTTTGTCGTTTTAAACCCACTACCTAGCATCATGCATGGTCAATATTTGTTGAATAGATAACTAGATGAAGGGATGGTTAGATGAATGGAAGAATGAATGAATGAAAAAAAAATCAAGGAATAAATTCTAGATCCTTAACCTAGAAGGGGATTCAAGTGATTGTCCAATAGTTAAACTCAACCTTCATAGAGGTCACACATTATTTCCTCTTTCATGGACAAAGTAAGTGGCAGAAAGAGAATTTCACCCACACTTCCAGTCCAGGGCTTGCTCCACCAAGCCACATTTGTGCATGATTTCATTCAGTCAACAAACATTTATGGAGCATCACCTACATGTCAGGCCCTATACTAGCCCCTCCGAGCCAGGTTGCTGGTCCTGACTCAGCATCAATAATTCTCCCCATTTTATTGAGCAATTACTATCTGTTCAGCTCCATGCTGAGCACTGCAGGGGATACAGCCTGGGTCAGGCTCTCAAGGAAACTAGAACCAGAAATCTTACTCTTCGAGAAATGGGGTGTGTGGTAGGCAAGAATATAGGCTTGAGACCTAGAGAGTCTGTAGTTCAAATCCAGGCTTGGCCATTTCCTGGTTGTGTGACTAATCTCCCTGCGCCTCAGTTCTCCTATCTGCAAAATGGAGATAGTAACCACTCCTACCTCAAAGGTACCACGTTGTAAGTAGTAAGTGACATAATCCACATAAAGTATTTAGAATGGTGTCTTAGTGAGTGTTCCATAAACTATGGTCATCTCCCTCTTCATTACTGTTATTACCAGGGGTGATCTCCACGTAGGTGGAGCCTAGCACCAAGGGCAGTGCCTGGCACGCAGTAGGTCCCCTCTAACGTGTAAGGTGGGAAGGAAGCAAGCAAGGCTCTGGAGTCCAGCATCTTGATATTGTGAAATGAAGTCAGGCTTTGCACAAAGACATAGCTACAAAGCCATTCTTTAACAATGCAGGTGGAAAGTCAGTAGATGGAATGGGGAGAGGAGAGGCGACAGAATATAAAGACAATCAGTAGAGACACTAAAATCGCAGTGAAAATTCAGGAAGAAGATGGGAGAGAAAAGATGGGAGTGGTGAGAGAGAAAAGTGAAACCCTTACCAAGGGCAGGAGGAAAAATGTGATCGAAAACAGCTAAATCAAGAAAGAGATGGCTTAGCATTTTATTTAGAGCCAGAAGAAACCGTTAAAAGACTCAGAAATGGCTCCCCTGGGGAAGTAGACTTTAGCACGGGAAGTGGGGTACATTTTAAGTATGTGCAGACATTGTTTTGATAAAAAATTTTTGAGGGAAAGAAGAAAAGATGAAAGGAAAGAAAAGAAGGACGATAGGAGGTCAGGAGAGGAAGGAGGGAGGAGGGGACAGAAGGGAAAGGGGGAAAAGAACAGAACGAAACCTCTGGAGTCTGTGGGCCTTGTCAAGTCACATCATCCCTCTGAACCTGGGTCTTCTTGATCTGTTAAATAGCTCATGCAAACAGCCTCGGCCAATTGTTGTACTGAAGAATGAGGCTGTCTGTGACTGCAGGGTACATAGCCCAGTAGGAGAGGTCTGACTGAGGGCCTGGAGCCTCAGGGGTGGGTGGGGGGCGTGGGCTGTACCTGGGTCAAAGAAGATGATGGCTTTGAGGCAGGCGTACTCGTTGTCATCGATCTGTAGCTCCTGGAAGGGCAGCACCAGCTCATCAAGGATGCGCATGGACACCCGACTCATCTCTGCCAGCTCTGGGCAGTGCCGAGGGACGATGTAGTCATTGCCTGGGTGGGTTGGGAAGGAAAGGGGATGAGGCCGCCACCTTGGGTGTACCCTTCTCCCCAGCTTTGGACAGCCCTTGCCCTTTGCAGTTGCAATGCCACTGGGACCCACGGGAGAGGGCGCATGGAGATTGTCATGCCCATTTTGCAGATGAGGAAGTGGAGGCCCAGATGAAAGGAATGAGTTGTTTGAAGTCACTGGAGTGGGTCTGGAGCCTGGCTTTCTAGGAGCCTTTCATATCACCCATGCTCCATTCTCCAATATGACCCGTAAGACTAGTGACATTCAAGGGTCACTTGGGAGGCACCAGTGCATCAAGGTTAAGGGCCCAGATTCTAGAACTAGACTGCCTGGGGTTGAAATCCAGTTCTGCAACTAACTAACCATATATATTTGGATAAATTACTTTCTGTGCCTCCATTTTTTCATCTGTAAAATGGGGATAAATAATAGAGATTACCTCATAGGGTTGTCGTATTAAAGGCGTGATGTTTGCAAAGTACTCAGACTAGTATCTGGCCTGCAGTGTGATCTACATAAGCATTTAAAGTAATACATAAACACGCCATGGAAGCATAAGTGACATAGACCGGGGGCTGTGCCCTTCCTGGCGGCCTCTTGCCCCCGATCCAGAAAGCACACCAGAGCGCACGAGCAATTCCACGGATAACCCCGACTGTGCTCTAACTTTAATGCTGGAGAACTTCCATTCCTTGCGTCCACATTTCCTTGCATCTGAGTGGAGGATCCAGCTGGGAACACTGGGAAAAGGACATTCTTGATCTTTCTCCCTCGCCCCTGCATGCCACCTTGGAACTCTCCTGTGCCTGGGTGCATTCCACCCCGGGCCTGCCCTCTGCGGAGCCCTGGCTGGGGCAGGCGGCCTCCTTACCTAGAAGCAGAACGTCCTTGAACACCATGGACCGCTTGGTGGCTCCGAGCAGCAGGTGTTCACCAGCATGGGCTCTGAGCAGGGCCACCTGGAAGAGAGAAGGGATGGTGTCTGGCAGCTGCTCCCCTGGGAAGGTGTCTGTACCCCCTGGGAAGGCGCTCTTAGCCAACTCAATGACCCTGGGCAAGTCAGCTTAATGCTTCCCTTGCCTTTACCTGCCTGAACTATAAAACAGGCATCAGAAAACTGCTGCTTCCTCCCATAACCGATAAAACCTGGAAAAGATTTAGCAGGAACCTGGAAGGGGAAAGAACGTGCACTCAGAGCTGGGAGGCCAAATGCTGACTTTATCGTTGAACCGCTGCGTCCTTGGGCAAGCTAAGCTGCCTCTTCCTTCTGGGCCTCATTTCTGTGCCTGATGAAACTTACCATTCTCAGTGTGTGTGTGTGTGTGTGTGTGTGTGTGTGTGTTTTCAGCAGAGGTTCAATGCCTTTCATCAGACTCTCAAGAGGGTCTATGAGCCAGAAAGTTCTAAAACTGTGGGTCCTGAATTCCAACCTATAGGCCAGCTGCAGATGATTATGAAGAGTACTTTATAAAATGCAGATTCTGAGGCCCTACTCCCAGAGACTCTGAGGCTGTATGTACGGGGTCGGGGGCGGGGGGGCCAAGGATCTGCATTTAACAAGCTCCCCAGCCGGTTCTGATGTGCAGTTGTGTTTGGGGAAATCACTGCTCTGGAAGATCTCCAGGACACCTGTTCACTCGACATTATAAGATTCTAGGGTTCTGAGAGTGAGTTCTAAGAGGTTGGACATGGATGTTGGTTCCCAAGGCCAAGTGTGAGTGCTGGCCTTGGCAGGGGATGAGCTTGACATATTCCTTCCCTGCCGAGAGACAAAGCAGCTTTGGCAGCCTGAAGTCCGAGGCAGGGACCCAGCCAGAAGGACGTTGTCTGTCCTTTCTGAACCATCGACTTTGGGGCTTGCAGCAGGCCCAAAGGACGGCAACATAGCAGCTGGTGAAAGTAGGAGCTGGCTGGTAGCCTCAAGGATCTTGTCTGCCAGGCTGGGTTGGGGAATTTGGGAGCTTTTTTAGCAGGCTAAGCTAGGAAGTAAAAATGCTTTTGTTCATTCATTCATTGGATTGTTCATTCTTTCAGTCATCAAATGTTAAGTGCCTACTAAGCGACAGGCACTTCGTAGGAAGGAAGGATGAGAGGGAGGGGGTGAGAGTCACGTGATAAAGAGCGATGGGACAAGAGGGGCTACATTAGATGGGGAGGTCAGAGAAAGTCACTCTAAGGAGATGGCATTGTCTAGGGCATGGAAGGCACATAGTAAACATTCAATAAATACTCATTTGAATGAAGAAAGGAAGGAATGGGTGAATGAATGAATGAATGAATGAATGGGCAAACTCGGTAACTCCCTCTCCAGATCTGGCAGCCACCTGCCCTTCTTCCTCTGTCCTCCCAGGGTTACATCTTGTAAGTATGACAAGAAAGAGGAGAACGGCAAATAGCCTTGCAGGTGAGAGGCCACTTTCCATGACCAGGACAAGGGAGGCCAAGGATGCTTATTACTGAGCACTTCCCATTCACCAGGCACTGCGGAGGGCTTTTGTCACTGACCCCGGTGGCTCTCAAACCCAGGGGCAGAAGCCCTGGAAGCAAATCCCAGCCCTGTGGCTGTCTTGCTCTGCAACCTGGGGCAGATCCCTTTCCCTCTCTAGACCTCAGCCCCTTTATTCGATGCTATCCAGCCTCCTAGGTTTCAATGGATTGATGTCCAAAACAAATCAAGAAGTGAACAAACTTGGAAAGTGGTTCCTGGGGCAATACCGACAGATTTGGGGTGTTCTTTGGAGGACAGTGCCCCCCCCCAGTTCTCCCAGGTGTGTCTCAACTCTCTTGGGCAAGATGGGCTCCTTATACACCATGAATGGGGAGCTGGGAACCCTCCTGACACGGAGGCTATTCCGGGGGTGGGCAGGCAGGGTGGGGGTGTTAATGATTGTCCCGTGTCGCTGGCCACCCGTCACTGCTCTCTAAGAATGCTCTGAGCCCCAGCCAGGGAGGTTTGGGTGGGAAATTGAGGTTAACAATTGCTCAGCTTGGGGGTATCTTATTGCCCTGCTGAGCCCCTGGGAAGGAACAGAAGGGATTAAACATTAATACAGACTCTCCAGCAGAGGGGACCAGGGCCAGCACAGAAGGAGCAGGGGAAAAGGCAGGGGCAGCTTGGCCGAGATCCCTGGCCTGTCGTCCTTGCCAAAGCAGGGAGGGATCCATGAGACAGAGCATCTGATCCAGGTCCCAGTGTGGGGGTGAGGACCAGCCAAACCAGTGTTTCCACAGTGTGTCCCCATAGGATACTAACAGGTGTTCCAAGAGAGTCTGGGGCTTAAGGGAGTTTGAGAAGCCCTGGGTCCCACAAAGTTCAGTGCCTTCCTTGCCTGAAGGACTTCTCAGAAACCTTCACAGACTAACACATGTTGCCAGTGTGTTGTGCAAACGTGCAAAACAGAGAAGCAAATGCACCAGGAGCTGATGTCTGGGGCACTGTCCAAGCTTCTCTCCGAGCTGAGAAGGTGACCCAGTCCAACAACACTTTCCCAGACAAGAGAGGCCTAGAGGTGCCTGGTCAGGAACGATCATTTGCAGTATCTCAGAAACTCATCTGTCCTCAGATGTGCGTGCCCCCCCCCACACACACACCCTCATCTTGCTGCACCAGCCTCTTCCCTCCCCCAGCAGCCCCAGGACAGTTTTGGTATTCCAAAGAAGGTACTTTGGGAAATAAAACGCTGAGTTAAACCATCTTGGTGGGATACAAGAATGAAAGTGACATTTAGGGAAGCCAGCTGTGGCCTGGGCCATGATGTAGATGCCGCATTACATGATTTATGCATTTTAAATGGTAATGTCTTTATTTTCTTCTGAAACAGATATTATAATTCCCACTTTACAGATAAGAAAACTGAGACTCAGAGAGAGGAAGCAATTTGTCCAAGATCACACAGAGCACCAGTCTCAGAGCCAGGGCTTTAGCTCAACTCTCATAATCCCTGGCCCTGGGGCCCTGTCCACATGCCCGCAGGAGAGCTGTCTGGTGCAGGAGTGTGGTGGCTAGGAGCCTGGACTTTGGAGCTTGCCTACCAAAGTACACTTGCATGCACAGTGTTCTAATCCCAGCTGTGCTGGATACTAGCTCTGTGACCTTGAGCAAGTTACTTAACCTCTCTGTGCCCCAATTGCATCACCTATAAAATGGGAATGATAATAGTACCTAACTCATAGGGCCACTGGATGGATTAGATGAGTTGAGATTTGTATGGTGATTTAAACAGCTCTGGGCACACATGAGCACCATGTGTGTTCTGTTAAACAGAATCAAACTAATCCGAGGCTATATCCCAGGTGGGCCAGCAGGACCCACCTGCCCAGCGTCCCCACTGCCCGCAGAGTGTCTGCTCTCACCTGGTCGTCCAGAGGGAGCTCGCAGAAAGCAGGAATGTACTTGGCCCACTCAACGAGCACCAGCAGCTGCTCCTTCATGGACTCGCACACGTCTGCGATGCTGGCGATCTTTTTCGCCCGAATGTCTCCGTTGATCCCGGAGACAGGGGAGGTGATCTGGCGGAAGTGAAGGACAATGCTGGGGATGGCCAGGCCCTCCCTACAGCCTCTGCCCCCTGTACAGAGCGCCGCCCCCCACCCCCACCCCACAGATAGTTTCCCTGTCAGGAAAAGGGGAGATGGACTATGGACGCTCAGGAGGAAGCTCGGGGGCAAATGAAGAGAAGAAAAGATGCTGACGAAGGCAGATATGAGGAAGGAGGGCTCCCCCTGGGCCTCTACCGGGTGCCTGCCCCCCACTTCCTCCTCTGCCAGCTCCTTGGAACCCCAAGGAAACCCTCAGCCCTATAAGAGAAGCAGGGGAAAAAAAATCATCATTCTCATCTGACAGGTGAAAAAACCACAACCCAGAGAGGTGCTGTGACTTGCCCAAGGTCACACAGCAAGGGATGGGCTGAGCCCGTTTGCCAAGCTGTCTACTTATCCACTAATCTGTTCTCTTAGGGCTAAACTGATCTCAGGCCCTCAGTGAAAGCCAACTCTGCCTGGCCTGCAGAATGTGTGCAAAAGGATGAACTAGAAAGTGCCACAGAGCGCCAGGCCTGGGTTCGAGTTCTGTCTTTGCTACTAAACTGGCTCAGTTTCCCTTCTGGGATATCCCAGGGCCCTTCAGACTGTTGCTCCAGGGCCTGGCTGGGGAAGACAGAGGTGGAGGCGAGACTCCTCTTTGGTGTGTGGGACCACCAGGTGGTAGAGGGTCATCCGATACCTGCTGGGACAGGACCTCGGCCTGCAGCAATGCGCTGATGGAGGGCAGGCTGCTGTCCTCATAGCTTGACCGGCGAGTGCTGATCCGGTCCCGCTCATTTTGCACAGCTGTGAGGAGGCAGAGAGAGGTGAGGATGGGGGGACAGGGATGGGGCGGAGGGGAGGGTGGTCCCCTGACTGCTGAGGAGCAGATGAGGTATGAGGGGAGAGAGTCTGACCCATAAGGAGATACTGCAGGGCTGACCTGGAGTAAAGGAAACACGGTTGGAGGTGGGAGGAGGGGCCATCCGGTGGGCAGAGCCTGGATCGGCATGCGGGAATGAGGGGAGACGGATTCCAACCCAGCGTGTGGAAGAACCTTCGAAGCACCAGAAAGGCCCCCCAGTACAATGGGATGTGGTGGGAGTGATCCACTGGTCCCTGGAGGGATGCAACATAGTGACGCCTTGGCAGAGGGTTTAAGATGGGTCTTGAGTATTGAAGAGGAGATCTATCTAGATGACAGATTTTTAAGCTCTGTTTTGGAAAAGGGTCCCTTTTGTTCCAGATGAAAGTGTGTAAAACAAGGAAAATGAATGGCCCTGGGTGACATGGAGATGGCCCAGGCATTCCTGAATACCGAGACAGAAGACCCGGAAAAGAGGATCTGGAGGCCCCCCTGCCCCGACAGTCTCATCCATCAGCAGGAGGCTAACCCTCCCTCTCAGAGACAGCACGAAAGAGCCCCGGCTCCCTCCTGCCCCATCGCTGGGCTCTCCTCCAGGAACTCAGAGCCCTGGGCCTCCACTAGGGCCTCCCTACTAGGGCCCCACACCTCCCTGCGCCTCCCCATCCGTGTCAGCCCTGGCCTAAGATAGAAGACGGACCTTCTGCGGCCCTGGCCCCATCCCCTGGAGTCCAAGAGGCCTCACTGTGGAATGAGGCTTTGCTGAAGCTGGCAGGAGACCTGGTGCCTGTCTGGAACTTGCCACTCACTCTCTCTGTGCTGGTACGAATCACATCCTCTCTCGGGGCCTCAGTTTCCCATCTATAAGCTTGTCCATCTCTCTTTCTCAGACCACCTCTGCTCATGCCCACATGCTGTCCGGAACCCCCGGCTCCGGGCTGGTCCCTGCTGCCTCTTCCCAGGAGCAGCTCAGGCTCTCCTCGCTGGTCTCTTTGCTTCTGGCCTCGCCCTGACTGTCCGGGCACCTCTCCGAAGACAAAGCCATCTGCTACAACCGAACCCGGTCACATCCCCCCACTGCTCAAAACCGGTGACTCCCCACCTCACGCGGAGCGAACCCCTTCGTCTAGGATCCCACTCTGCCCACCAAGCTGCCGCTGCCCCCCTGCCTGGAATTCTGCTTCCCCCACAGCTTAGCTGCTTCTTCGCTTTGCGCCTGGCTCCGTGCAAACGTCACCTTCTCGGAGACACCCACTCTGACCACCCTGTCCGATGCGGCATTCCCTCCCTCAGGCTCTGCACTTTATGTCTCCTGCTTTCCTTCTCTTCGGGGGCCCTTATTGTAGAATCTCTTGTTCATTCCTTTACTCTCTGTCTCTCGATGGGAGGGAAAGCTCCAGAAAGCTAGAACTCCGTTCCTATTCACTGCTGCAGCCCCAGCGACTAGCACAGAGCTTGGCGCCCAGCAGGTGCTCAAGAAATGTCTGTTGAGTGAGCGAAAGAAGCTCTGATTCCTAGGTGGGCCCTATTTCTCAGTGGAATGTCCACTGCAGCCATTCAACTTTCTCTTGATTTCACACATCACTGAAATCAGAGAATGAAAGGCAGACAGCGTAAACCGAGCCCCAGCGTGAGTGGGCTAGGACAGCGGTCCCCAGGTCGGAAATCTCTCCTGACACCCACCGCCCCGGCCAGGGCCAGCCCCAGGGCCGCTCCCCTGCACACGTGGCGGCCCTGCTTGTGACACCCCTCCCAGCCACCAGCGCCCGCACCCACCAGGGCGCCGAGGGGAGGCGGGCCCAATAAAAGGGCTGCTGTCAGCAGCTGCGGATTGGGCTCCCCAAGGTTAGCCAGTGTTATCAGTGCCCAGCGCGAGCTCAGTCACGGAATGATGTTTTCCAAATGTTTGCTCAGTATTAGCAGGGTCGGGGACCTAATGTAACTTCTATTGAATATTAACCGACCCGGCCAGAGGAGGAGAGGAGGATGAGCCTGTCTTCCCCGAGAACCCCTGGACGGGGCCCATGGGGGGGCTGGGCCGGGGTTCTGAGGAAGGGCCCATCAGAGTGCCCCTGGCCCATGGCCAGCCTGTTCCTGCTGCACCCCAGCCCGGCTTCCTGGGTGGGCTTCCATCCAGGGGCTGAGCATTCGTCCTGGGTCTGCCAGCCGAGCCCCAGGTAGGTGTTGTCTCAGGTTATAGGACAGAATCGAGACCTGCTGTTGGGCCCACTGACCCCCAGCTTTCTCCCCAGAGTCTTTGTCCCTTCAGGGAACCCACTTCTGGCCACCATGGAATATCCTCTGGCCAAAGCTCACAGGCCTATGGGATTTGGAGCCCTTCCCTGTGGTCAAGGGGAAGTCTCAGGAATCTAGACCAGAGACGATGCCCCCAGGCCGAGCCCTCCCAGTTTCAGTCCAGGGAGCTTGGTGTGTGCCCAGCTCAGGGGAGCCTGACTCCACCCGATCATGTCGCCTGTCTGGCTTGAATTTCCCCATCTGTAAAGTAGGGAGGGGGTGGATTTGGTGACCTTGCCTCCATCTGGCCAGTCCATAAATCCTGTTGGCAGCACAGGCCTTCCTGTGGTCAGGGACCACTTCTGGGTTTCAATTCCCGAACCCTAAGCTATCAGAGAAGAGAAATGAAAACTTGTCCCAGCTCTCCTGATCACGGAGGCTTCCGCCGAGAATCTCTCTCGGTTTTGGGGACTTCCCACCAGGCTGACGAGGGGTGTCGGGACTACAAGACTTTGGTAGAACTGGTAATACTCTGTCTTCCCAGAGCCTGACCACCGTGACGACCGAACACCATGCCCCCCAGACCTATTCTCGAAGCCATCATGCAACTGCAGGTGCCAGGATCTTCCGGTTGACTGAGGCATGCAAATCAGCACCAACACTGACCAGCTCACACTCACGTGCCATCAGCCAATGCTCCCATCCTCCTGGCCTAAAGCCTCCTTCCCTGAGCCAAGAAGCTTGGCCTATTTTCGAGGCTACTAAAGCAGAATGGCCTGGGGCTCTCCCTCCCCTTCCAGGAGCCAGGATACGGGGCTGCAGCCTCCTTGGCAGCTCAGGTGGAGGACCAGGGAACAAAGACACATGCCCCCAGGGGGACTGGTAGATCAGTGAGTGGGTCGCTGGACTGCCAGAGCTGGAAGGCATCATTATCACCTCCTCATTTACAGACAGGAAAACCGGAGTCCAGAAGAAATGTCTCCAAAGTGACACCCGTGTCAACGACTCCGGATGTTTAGCAAGAGACATATATAAAGACTGACCACGTGTAGGCACCAGGCCCCGTACAACCTAGGCAGGCTGCCAATCCTTTTCCCACCTGCCTGCCACAAGGCCTGAAATTTTACCTCGAGAGCTTCATGCTCTGGAACCTGACACCTTAGGCTGTGGGGGAACAAAACCACTGGCTGTGAGAACCACAGATCCTGAGGCCCCTACATTGTATGCTGTCTTTCCCTTGCCTCCTACTGCTCATGTGTGTGTTATAGTCCCAGTTCTCACGTTCCTCATTCCACAAGGTGGTACCCAGCTTGAAGGAGAGGGTGTCAACCCCACTGAAAACTGGGGAGCCGGAGGGGGGCACTGCCCTTTGAAAAAGCTCCCCCTCCCGACCTGAGACCCTGCCCCCCACCCACCCAAGATCTGGGCGCTATCATTGTGGAGTTGGCAGCAGGAGGGGGCCTTGGAGCCCACCCAGGGCCTCATAGGGGTCAGCAGGCCCAAGTCCCCAACAGGACTCGTGAGCTCAAAGCAAGGCCCTGCAGGGACGACACACAGACCCACTTCCTAGGGAGAGGACAGGGGGAACAGGGGCTCCGAGGCAGAGACTGGGGGGAGTGCCCCTCCTTCACGGTTGGCTCGGGCAGCTGGTCCTGGTTCCTGTCCTTCGGTGGTGTGTGTGTACAGGACTAGACCAAGGGCCGGGCTGGTGGGCGAGGAGTGAGGGTCTGGTGCCAGAGCTGGGGAAGGTGAGCGGAGGGGAGAAGGAGACGGAGTAGTTAAAGGATTTTTGCTTCCTGAGCTCGGGCTGCAAAAGTTGTAAACGTCCCTGAGGTCTGGAGGTCATAAAGGAGGGAACGTCGAGGTTTGGCCAGACAGCACCCAGCTCTAGTCTGAAGCACCGGGGACAAACCTCAGGGCTTGCACTGAGCAGCTGTGGGGCCTCAGGCAAGCTGCCGAACCCATTCTGGGCCGCAGTCCCCTCATCCAGGAAAAGGGAGAATGACCATAGTGCCAGCCACATAGGGCGCCACGTCACTCGTAGAGAAGCCCTGCCCAGTGGCTGGTGTCTGCTGCTTACCGGAGGCCTGGAGAGGACTCTCGAAATGTGCTCCGGTCTTCCCCTCCACCTCCACCCAGGGCAAGTCTGACGCCCGGTTCCCGCTCCGCAGACGTGAAAACTTTGGGTCACCCGATACTCAAGAGTGAAGACTAAGGA